CACCGCCTACGCCACCTACGTCATAGACGCCTATACCGACCCACCCTGAGCCACCCGAACCACTACCCCCTCCCCCACACCACCGCCTACGCCACCTACGTCATAGACGCCTATACCGACCCACCCTGAGCCACCCTAACCCACCCGAACCACTACCCCCTCCACCTGCTCCCCCGCCTATAACGAGCCCTACTACGTCATAACCGAGCCCCTCTCACCCTCCACGGCTATACCGCGCCACCCCCTCCCYCACACCTMCYGMCTGYWSCACCCACGTCATGGACACCCGGACACCGGGCCACCCCCTCCACCACCTTACGCCTGTACCACCCACGTCGTGGACACCGGGACACCGGGCCACCCCTCCTTCCGCCTTCCATGTGCACCGCGCGACACCGTGGGCCCGCACCGTGCCGACCCCCGCTTCACCCCCCATCCGAGCCTTGACGCCGCGCTCTGTCGGTGGCGCGGCCTCGCTTATCGGACGCCGCCGTGACATTTCACCACCGCCGGTGGCGCCATCTATCCGCCGATTCTGTGACGCGATTTTTTTGTCTTGTATCACAAGTTATCACGGTTTTACACTGCTAAAACTATGACTATTGCTGTACACCGCGAATAGATAACGTTTAAATGGCCGATCGAGCGTATTACGTASCCGCCGAGTTAATTAATTATCGCGAAGCAGTAACACTGCAACCGTCTAACGTGTAACTAGTGCATTTAATTCTGACGGTGAAAAAATGAAGGGAAAAATTCAAACAACCATCTCGGAGGCTCGCGGTGAGCGCAAGGGCAAAAATATACAACGTTCGACGACTATGCGGGCGCCTAACGATTTGATCGACTGCACAAACTTCGTCATAGACTTTGCTGGCCGAAAATCCATCAACGTCGGACTCGACGCCTCGGACGTTTTCAACGTGTGCTTACAGATTATAACGCCATCGCGTCATGTGTGTATAACGAGTGTTTTCTTAAAACGAATTTTCGCGCTCATGCCGTACATACTGTCGAATATATCCGGCACACCGGTCATGAGCCGAGAGAGACTTTTCCTCAAAGACGAGTATAACACGCTGTCCCGGAGTACTTATCGCRGTGAAAGCATGCTCGTCGTCGAATCACACCTACAGCAGGGATGTCGCGTGATGCTTAGCGGGCGCGATCTATTAAGAATTCACGACATGCAATGGGCCATCGGTGAATCGATCTCGCGTAAATCCAACGCCGAACGATGTGCTGTTATGGTGCAAGTCGATCAGCTGGCCACGTATTTGAGTACTAATATTTATGTSGACAAATCGTCGACCGTAGAAGAAATTTCCACAGCGACCGAGAATATTCACCACGACCTCCATGCGATGAATATATTTCCGAACAGCGAGAACAGTTTCATAAACCAGATCAAATTGTATGCTAACAAACAGTTGGCCCGAGTAATGACGTGGTGCTGTCAACGACATTGAAGAGGTGATTATTACTTTTGAAATATAATATTATTTCATATTATAATATCCCTAGGATATCGTAGAGAATATTATATCTTATAATATAATTTGGTATTTTTTTCACAGCTTTTAGGATTCCACGAGAACGAAGGGCCCGCCATGTACACATATTGAGACTATTAACGTCTTACTTGACCTCGACATTCYGACCACTGGCCACCGCCGCCGTCGACCGAGGATAATTATATATTAAGATGAAACACATGTAGAATAATATMATAATATGTCTAATAACGGTGTGTTATAATATATATAAATAAAATATGTACCATCTGTCTGCGAGATACTTTTCTCCTCCACACATACATATATTGTAAAATACGATTTGTACATATAATGACAAATATAATATTTATTACATTATATTTCAGAAAAAAAGACGTTATATTTATTATTATCATTTCATTTATTATAAAAACATATATACAAATATCTAGTCTAGCCATGTATTATTTTTACATAATATATAAATACTTCCTATGGTAATCTATGTGAACATAGATATACTGTAAAAAGTGTTTAAAAAAAAGTAAATATCATATGCTATATTATATTTTTCTAACTTCACCGGTAAACGGGTTGTATTGGATCACGCGATCGTGGATAACCAGGCAATAGGCGGCCGTGTTGGCGGGGAAATTATTCGCCGCTTCTATTTCCACTCTGAGGTCCACGTTGGAAATCTTCGCGTCGTCCGTCTGMCGCGAACAGTCTATACAGATAAACGGACCCAACTCTTTATATTTTTCTCTCGTCAGGCACGGTTGAGCCGTAAACCGCTCGTAATAATGTTTTTGGAAATCGGCATAATTTTGAWARAACATCGTAAACAGGTTTTTGTCGAAACTTTCGTTGAAATCCTCGTACGGATATTCGACCGAATTAATATACGCTTTAACGTTTGTCAGCGAACACGCGTCGTAATCGCCGCTATAACCGTCCGATACGCTTCCGGGCGTATTCGTTAGAAAAGCGATTATTAAACACCTAGGTTTTTYCACTTGCGAACAMGTTTTAACCATCCAAGAGTGTCTGTTAGTTTGCGGCAGATTCGGATATTCGCAAAGCTCCCAATTTCAAAAGCGCAGTTAATCATTTTTTTGCTATCGATGATTTTCATCAGCTTCAATCTCTCTCGGTCGTCGACTTTGACCACCGGTACTTTCCACAGCACTCTAGTAAGTTGAACTTTGACTTTTTTCACCAAAGCCTTAACCGACTCGGTCGCCATGTCTCCGCCCGGCACGCTAGTGAAATGCAGCGAGCTCAGATCCGACATCGATCTATTCAGTATGAGCTGTTGACTGCAGTTCACCAGTATCCGCTTGTAGTCCTCGCAAAAACCGAAAAGTGCTTCAACGGTATACAGCCACTGAACGCGTCGTCTTTGACGAAATTAGCATTTCTGCCAGTGATATCCCAAGCAGCGTTTTGCATCATGTTCGAATCGGCGGGCGAATACGAGCAATAACCTTTCATGGCACTAGTTATGCCCGGTTTCTTGACGCGTTGCACTTCGGTAGAATTTATTTCGTACTTCATCTCGTTAAACAAATTCGTCAACCCGTTATGTGCCATAGTTATCTCGACCTTCAGTTCGTCGGGCTTCGTTATTTTACCCTCGATATAGATAAAACTATCGCTCGGAAACGTGTGCGCGTCGCGATTCTGAATAGATATGCGGATTTCATCGCCGTTGCTAAGTGCGGACGATGAAAATGGTAAAAAAGAATGTAGAAACATTTCGCGAATAGGAGATTCGTTAACATACGCTCCGCCCACGTCCAAGAAGGATTTGTCCATAGTGCACGCGTATAATATAAAATATATATTAATTACTTGGCGCCGATTATGCGTAAGAATTTGCGATTAGCTGATGACAGTTTTTTATTTTTAATATTATTAACTTTTCTGCGAACGACGCCCGTGTACTGTGGCGGTGTGCGTCTGACGGCCGCTGTAGCTTTAATGCGGTCGTCGGCATTATCGATCGCGTATTTATCGACGTTAAACTTCAGACCCATTTTTTATCAGGAGTCTTANCGTTAAACTTCAGACCCATTTTTTATCAGGAGTCTTACGTTCACAGACTCACCGCGAAAATCGATCGCTTTACCGTTTTGATCGGTCAACGATACTCGCACGTAATCAATCGTATTTGTTTTCAGTTTATACAGTACGCAATACTTAGGTATTTCGACTATTTTATAACCCGGTGGGACGACCGGATAGAATTCGTGTATGGTGTGCGATTGCAACCCGTTGTCGAATGAACCTAACGCCAAGTTACATTCGACTTTTATCGTGTTTACATTCATAATTTTCACTACACGATCGGATTCGTGTCTGTGATCGCGCGCTAAAGTCCGCTTATCGAAGCCCAATAACGGAGCGATGCTATCCTCGACGTTTAAGTCGATTTCGCTACTGCAATGCACTGCGCATTTCAACGTGCTGTTATCGGTTGATAAACTAAAAAAACGTACGCCGACGTTCTTCAAAAGTTCACGCATTTTARTTTCCAAAGCAATTATTTCATAACAGCCGGTCGGTATTTTAATCCTAACGGGCTCCTYCTGTCCRCCGTGAATAATATGCAGATTATYACAACCGGTCTGTACATTGGGTATGGAATTATATGTTTGCATACTCAAAAGTCCKATTTCCGATTTATTACCCACTTCGACGGGCGGAAAAAAATGACATTCCAATTCAGAACTGGCCCCGCTCAACGAAAATGTTTGTGACGACATGTTGCCGCGTCGTATAGTCGACGATATATAAATATATATTATTATTATAGTAATGATTTAATATCAATATTATTATTATCGTTGTTTCGAGKTTAAAAAYTTCAAACATAAATGACCGCAGTTAAAAGTATCGTATGTTTGATGACGTTCGTAATTATATTCGATGTCGCAACCTTTAAAATATTTTTCCAACTCTAATGGTGGGCGGAGGTTTCCATAGCTATCGTAATACAGAACCGATTTTCCAATTTTTTTATAACACACCCAATGCGTGCCCCTATTTTTTTCCAAGTCTAAATTAACGACCGCAGCTTCTTCGCGTCTGGGTGCGGCGGGCAACCTGTCTATACAATATACGCCTCTGAAATGAAGTATTT